GTATTTAAGTCCCCTGTCATCTGAAATTCCCACTTTAAGTATACTGCCTCAGTGCAAAATAAATACGGGGACGGGGGAAACACAAGGGGGTGGAAATCCACTCCCTTTCGGCACTTGGGTGGGTGATGGAGAATAATTAAACCCTTATTGAAAGTCCCCCGTTTTTTGGGAAATTTAAAATTGGGGGTTTGTAGAAAAAAAACTAAATTTTGGAAAATTCCATTTTTTTTTACATTTAAGGGTTTTTTTGTTTTGAAAGAGTGTTGCCCCTTTTTTGGATAGTTTTACTGTTTTCTGTTTGACAAAACTGAATAAAATTTAGATAACATTTTTTTGAAAAAGAAGAAGAGTTTTTAAAAGGGTTCAAAAGGCCCCTATTTTAAAAGCTCCCACAACAGAAGTGTATTTTTAAATTTTTTAACCCAAATTTTAATTTTTTTGGGAAAAAATCCCAAACGGGGTTCCATATTTTTTGGGGAAAAACAAAAAAAACAGGGGGTTTTAAATCATTAATATTCTATGATAAAATTGAATTATTTGATTTATCACAGAAAAAAATGTTTAAAAGCTATGTTTTCCCCATGGCAGGCTTGCATTATGATGGGGAATTTAAAACCACTTGACCCCAGGGAAATTTACCCCCCTTTAAATGCCGGGCCCTTTTTTTTTGCTTTTTTGGCGCTGAAACTAATTTAAATGATAATTGGGGCGGTCATGCAATCTGTACCCAAAACAAAAATTTACGTCCTTTTTTTCACACAAATAGAGCTTTTTTTTGGGGGAAATTTGATAAACCTGTGGGGCCTTTTTATTTTTTGCGCTCTAAACAAAAAAACCACAAAAATTTTTGAAAAAAAAACAATTTTTTTCTACTTTCAGCTAAAAAAAAATTTATCGAAAATTTAAAAAGCTATTTCATAAAAATTTAAAAAAAATGTATTCTTTTTACATTTTTTTGGGTTTAAAAAAATCCCAAAAATGGTATATTGATTGTTTGTGTAAAGGGTTAAGAAACCCTCCCAAAACTTTTGGTTTTAGTACTGAAATTTTAAATGCCTTTTTTTTTTGGGCAAATTTCACGTGCACAAATTTTAAAATAAAAAAAAATTAAATTTTTTCCCGGGCGGTCATGAAAAATGCTGTCCCCCAAAAAATTTACGTCCTTTTTTTCACAAAAAATAGGGGCTTTCTTTTGGGGTTGGTATTTGTCACCTGTCCCGCTTTTTTTTTTTGCGTATAACCAAAAAAAATCCCAAAAAATTTTGAAAAAAAATTTATTTTACTTTCATTTAAAAAAATATATCTTTAACTCAAAATTTAGTCATAAATTTTAAGAAAATTTTATTTTGCTAAGTTTTTGGTAAAAAAAACCCCAATAAGTGTTAAATTGTTTTGCTTTGTGTGAAAATTTTAAAGCGCACAAACAAAGGGTTTTAGATCAGGGGGGCAAACTTTTTGATTTGTTTGGGCCGCAATGGGTTAAATTATTGGACCCGGGGGGCCCGGACCGAGTAGAGAATAGTGTTTTGGTCATCCATAGAAAAAGGTATTAGTAAAAATTCCCCCCCATGTAAGAATTTTAAAATTTTAACCCCCCTTATAGTAATTCACCCCCCAATTGTAATTTCTTTCCCCCAAAGTAATTCATCCCCCTTTATAGAAATTTCCCATCCCCCTTTAGAAATTTTCTTTCCCCATATAGAAATTTCCCATCCCCTTAGTATTTCATCCCCAAAAGTAATTCATCCCCCTTTAAAAGAAATTTCATCCCCCATGTAATTCATCCCCCATATAGTAATTCACCCCCCCATATATTTAATTTCCCTCCCCACATAGAAAATTCACCCCCCATTAGTAATTCATCCCCCATTTTTAAAGCCCCCAAGGGTCCCCCCCTGTGCCCAATTCACTTCCCTTTGCCCCGGGTACGTTCCCCCTCGCCGTGTTCCCACCCCGTTCGGTGTAGCATAAAATAGGGTCCCCCTATGAGGATCGGCCCCCCCTCGACTTTCCCTGGGGATTTTTTCCAGTTTCAGGCTTTTAGCAGCCGAGGGGTGAGGTCCTGGCACTTTGCGCAGATCCCCGTAAAAGGGGGACAAAATCCCCCATAGGAGACAGAATTTTCATGCAAATCCCGGGTCTTCAGGGCAGACCGTGAGAGGAGCCTAGTATTTTCTACTTTAAGCTATAAAAAATATATCATAAACTCAAAGTTAGTCATAAATTTAAGCCAAAATGTATTCTGCTCCATGTTTTTGGTAAAAAAAATCCCGTGCATTAGCAGGCAAACTGGCGCTATCTAGGAGGGGCGCTAACACTATCGGAAGTCACCAGTGACACTAATACAGTGATCAGTAAAAATCTGTTCACTGTAATCAATGACACTGGTGACAGGGCAGTGAAGGGGTTAACTGGGGGGGGGGAGGGGGGCGATCAAGGGGTTAAATGGGATTTCTGGTGCACTAGCGGGCAAACTGGCGCTATCTGGGAGGGGCGCTAACACTATCGGAAGTCGCCAGCGACACTGATACAGTGATCAGTAAAAATTGGTTCACTGATCAGTGACACTGGTGACAGGGCAGTGAAGGGGTCAACTCGGGGGGGGGGCGATCAAGGGGTTAGACGGGATTATGGTGTATTAGCGGGCAATCTGGCGCTATCTGGGAGGGGCGCTAACACTATCGGAAGTCGCCAGCGACACTGATACAGTGATCGGTAAAAATTGGTTCACTGATCAGTGACACTGGTGACAGGGCAGTGAAGGGGTTAACTGGGGGGGCGATCAAGGGGTTTAAACGGGATTACTGGTATACTGGCGGGCAATTGGTGCTATCTGGGAGGGGCGCTAACACTATCGGAAGTCGCCAGCGACACTGATACAGTGATCAGTAAAAAATCGGTTCACTGATCAGTGACACTGGTGACAGGGCAGTGAAGGGGTTAACTGGGGGGGGGGGAGATTAAGGGGTTAAATGGGATTACTGGTGTACTAGCGGGCAATCTGGCGCTATCTGGGAGGGGCGCTAACACTATCGGAAGTCGCCAGCGACACTGATACAGTGATCAGTAAAAATTGGTTCACTAATCTGTGACACTGGTGACAGGGCAGTGAAGGGGTTAACTGGGGGGGGGGGGGGGGGGGGCAATCAAGGGGTTAGACGGGACTACTGGTGTATTAGCGGGCAAACTGGCGCTATCTGGGAGGGGCGCCAACTCTATCGGAAGTCGCCAGCGACACTGATCAGTAAAAATCGCTTCACTGATCAGTGACACTGGTGACAGGGCAGTGAAGGGTTAACTGGAGGGGGGGGGGGGCGATCAGGGGGTTAAATGTGTCCTAGAGTGTTCTAACTGTAGTGTAGTGCTTGTGTACTCACTTTTTGGATGTCTTCTTCTCTGTCTGGAACGGAATGTGTCCAGGCAGAGAAGAATGACATCATATCCTGCCCTGTGTAAATATCAACACAGGACAGGATAGGACAGGGACCGATCATGTGATTTCAGCCAGAAATCACTGGCTGAAATCTAATGATTGATCCCTCCTGGATCGAATTGTATCATCCGCGGGTCGGCGGGCGGGAGCGCGCACGCGCGCCCCCTACCCGCGAATGTGTCGGGAGCGCGGAGCGCGTTTTAAAAAAACGTGCTTTTGCGCTCCACTGCCGCCCTGCACACGTATATATACAGTGGCAGGGCGGCAAGCGGTTAATAACCATCCTACATGAGACATAAATGGGGGATGGTGGATTCAATGGGGCATATAAATCTAATCTAGACTTCACATACCCCAAACGGTACATTACACTAAAACTGTGTGAATAAACAATGCAGATTACATTAGTAATATAACATGAGGAGGGAAATTCATTCATAATTCCCACCATACTAGAACCGTATTGCATGGTAGACACTAAGATCCACTGATACTGGATAATCAGCAACCTGAACTAGAATCAAGGAACAAAGGATACAATCCATTGAATCCACCATCCCCCATTTATGTCTCATGTAGGATGGTTATTAATACCCCTTTATTATTATTATTTAGCATCCATAGGATTGTAGCATCAAGCGCTTTTGCAAAATCCAAGATTGCCACGTCCACAGCCTCCTCTCTGTCCAAGTATACCACGTCCACCACCCCTCTGTCCAAGTATACCACGTCCACCGCCACCTCTCTGTCCAAGTATACCACGTCCACAGCCTCCTCTCTGTCCAAGTATACCACGTCCACCACCCCTCTGTCCAAGTATACCACGTTCACCACCATCTCTCTGTCCAAGTATACCACGTCCACCGCCACCTCTCTGTCCAAGTATACCACGTCCACCACCACCCCTCTGTCCAAGTATACCACGTCCACCACCACCCCTCTGTCCAAGTATACCTCATCCACTGCCACCCCTCTGTCCAGGTATACCACTTCCACCACCGCCCCTCTGTCCAAGTATACCATGTCTTCCGCCGCCCCACCCCCTCTGTCCAAGTCTACCACGTCCACCACCACCCCTCTGTCCAAGTGCACCACATCCACAGCCACCCCTCTGTCCAAGTGTACCACGTCCACAGCCACGCCTCTGTCTAAGTATACCACATCCACCGCCACCCCTCTGTCCAAGTATACCACGTCCACCGCCAACCCTCTGTCCAAGTATACCACGTCCACCGCCAACCCTCTGTCCAAGTATACCACATCCACAGCCACCCCTCTGTCCAAGTATACCACATCCCCACAGCCACCCCTCTGTCCAAGTATACCACGTCTACTGCCACCCCTCTGTCCAAGTATACCACGTCCACCGCCACCCCTCTGTCCAAGTATACCACATCCACCGCCACCCCTCTGTCCAAGTATACCACGTCCACCGCCAACCCTCTGTCCAAATATACCACGTCCACAGCCACCCCTCTGTCCAAGTATACCACGTCCACAGCCACCCCTCTGTCCAAGTATACCACGTCCACCGCCACCCCTCTGTCCAAGTATACCACACACCCACTGCCGCCCCTCTGTCTAAGTATACCACGTCCACAGCCACCCCTCTGTCCAAGTATACCACATCCACCGCCGCCCCTCTCTCCAGGTATACCACTTCCACTGCCACTCCTCTGTCCAAGTATACCACGTCCACCGCCACCCCTCTGTCCAAGTGTACCACATCCACAGCCACCCCTCTGTCCAAGTATACCACGTCCACCGCCACCCCTCTGTCCAAGTGTACCACATCCACAGCCACCCCTCTGTCCAAGTGTACCACGCCCACCACCACCCCTCTGTCCAAGTATACCACGACCACCACCACCCCTCTGTCCAAATATACCACGTCCACCACCACCCCTCTGTCCAAGTATACCACGTCCACCGCCACCCCTGTGTCCAAGGTTTTGCTCACCTCCTCATAAAGAAATCAGATTTGTTTGACAACTTCTGTCTTTCATGAATCCATGCTGTCTGTTGCCTAAAATATTTTTTCCAGCAAGAACTCATCTATGTGGTCTTTTATTAAACTCTCCAGTATCTTTCCAACTATAGATGGTGCACTAACAGGTCTATAATTACTTGGGAAAGATTTTGACCCCTTTTTAAATATTGGCCCCACATTGGCCTTACACCAATCCAGTGTTACTATGCCAGTCATTAAAGAGTCCCTAAAAATGAGAAACAATGGCTTGAAATAACAGAGCTCAATTCTTTAAGCCCCCCGTGGGTGTATGCCATCCGGTCCAGGGGCTTTATTCACCTTTATTCAGTCTAAATATTTCCGGATCATATCAATAGTGAGCCAATGTGGATCATCTGGAGCTGTGGCAGTACCACGCCCATTATGGACAAGAGCCCCCCCCCCCATGCTCCTTTGTATACACAGAGCAGAAGAAGGGATTTAATATAGTTACATAGTTAGTCTGGCTGAAAAAAGACAAAAGTCCATCCAGTTCAAAAATTAAAAAAAATGTACTTCTATTATATCCTGTGGATTTGGTGCGCCTTCAGAAAGTGCGCCATACCTGCAAGATATAATAGAAGTCTCAGCTAACCCGCAGGAAAGCCGCAGGTGCCACTGAAAGCAGCCTTTTAGGGGGCTCAGGACAGTAAGGGCTCATTTACATTTGCAGTTCGAGGGCGGAACCCCATTGTTGAGATGTGTTTTTACCACACACCCCCAACCACTGATGTGGCATCAGGGGGTCACATTAGCAACCCCGACTCATCCTCCAGGGGGCCCATGCGACCTTCGTGTCTGTTTTGTCCTCCTGCAGCCACTAAAAGCTGACTTCTGCTCCTCTCTCTTCTGCCGACATTCAGAGGCTGTTGGAGGAAAATGTTTATTATGCTATTCAAAATAGAAAAAATTTAAATTGTGAACCATTTCATTTTTTTGTGGCCCGTGAACGGCTACCAAATCACTTAAGTGGCCCTCGCTCTTCAGAAGGTTGAGCACCCGTGATGTACATATACACGCATGTACAGTATGTTCGAGCTTTGGGGTGCACACTCTAATGCAATAGGCTGCGCACACCTATGGTATATATCAAGGATAAATATGTCCCCTGTGTTTCAGAGTGTGCCGTGTCCCAGCGGCTGGCCGGGTGATAGAGACAACGGTTACACTCATTTAAACGCCATCACAATGTGACAGGAGAGCCAGAGCCAGTGTGAGATGATGGGAGCCCACCTACTGGACTGGGAGGACTGGGAGCAGAAGGTAAGAGATATGGTCAACATCTGCGATTCATTCATCAAAAAGAAGCTGTCAACTTCCCATTTGGAGCCATGGGAGGTCTTCTTGTTAACCAGTTCCAGTCCGAACGCTTTCACCCCCTTCCAGTCCGGACGCTTTCCCCCCCTTCCAGTCCGGACGCTTTCCCCCCCTTCCAGTCCGGACGCTTTCCCCCCCTTCCAGTCCGGACACTTTCCCCCCTTTCCAGTCCGGACGCTTTCCCCCCCTTCCAGTCCGGACGCTTTCACCCCCTTCCAGTCCGGACGCTTTCCCCCCCTTCCAGTCCAGACGCTTTCCCCCCTTTCCAGTCCGGACACTTTCCCCCCTTCCAGTCCGGACACTTTCCCCCCCTTCCAGTCCGGACACTTTCCCCCCCTTCCAGTCCGGACGCTTTCCCCCCCTTCCAGTCCGGACGCTTTCACCCCCTTCCAGTCCGGACACTTTCACCCCCTTCCTGTCCAGGCCAATTTTCAGCTTTCAGCGCTATCACACTTTGAATGACAATTGCGCGGTCATGCAACACTGTACCTAGATGAATTTTACAGCATTTTTTTAAGACATATAAAACTTTATTTTGGTGGTATTTATTCACCGCTGGGATTTTTATTTTTTTGCTATAGAAATGAAAAAGTCCAAACATTTTTTTAAAAAAAGTGTTTTTCTTATAAAATTTTGCAAATAAATAATCTTTCTTCATAAATCTTGGCCAAAATGTATTCAGTTATATTTTTAGTAAAAAAAAAAAAATTAGTAAACCCAAATTAGTTTATAACCAAAAATTATAATTTTTAAAAAAAAATGTTTACATTTTTATTTTATTTTTTTATATTATTTGTTTTGTTTTGGGTTTTTTTTACATACTGTCACCCTAGCAGTACAGTACCATGGTGACACTGTACTACTTGTGGGGGGTTATGAAGATTTTTTTTTTTTTACACTGATTGCTTTTACACCCATATAGGATGTAAAAGCAATCATTTATCCTTCTCTCTGGCTGCATTCTTGCAGCCATTGAGAAATACTGTGAGAGCTGTGATTGGTCACAGCTTGTCACATGGTACAAGGCTGTTGTGAATAGCCCTGTACCATGTGATCTCTGTGATCATTCAAAGATTTCACGCGTAGTAAGCAATGATGTCAGAAGTGACATCTTGCTTACTACTCTGATTGGCCAATCAGTGATCACATGATCGGGACCTCGCACAGATCGGTGCACCAGATCGCGGTGCTGCGTGCTCCCAGGGAGCGCGCACAAGCAGGGGTCGGGGGAGGCCATTTATAAACGGCCACCCGCCCCTGCACTGCCACCATCCAGCCGTTTATATACAACAGCCGGACAGGAAGTGGTTAAGGAAGTCTTCTCTCACCCGCTGATACTCAACTCTACCATGCTTCCCCATCGTTGGAGTTTTTGGAAATACCCTTTGCATGGGTATGGGGGTGTATGGCACCTTCTCTCCTGACTCCTTTTGGGGACGCACCAGGCTCCAACACTGTATCCTTAGGAGGAGTGTATCATTAAAGCTGAAGTTTAGGTATTGTATTTAAATTGGAGCTCTGATGAAGTGAGGCCCTTAGAACCCAGGAAACGTGTTGGAGTTTAATGTACACTCAGCGGCCACTTTATTACGTCCACCTTGCTAGTACCGGGTTGGACCCCCTTTTGCCTTCATTCTTCATGGCATAGATTCCACGAGGTGTTGGAAACATCCCTCAGAGATTTTGGTCCTTGTTGACATTATTATTATTATACAGTATTTATAAAGCGCCAATGGTTCGCTCAGCGCTGTAGATTACAAAGGGGGACAGAACAATAACAATACAATGCAAAACATGAGGGGATCGAGGGCCCTGCTCTTTGGAGCTTACAATCTAGGAGGGAGGGGATGGTGGTACAGGAGGAGATAGCTGTGGGGGATGGAGTGGTAGGAAGAGTGGAGGAGGTCGGCAGGTTAGCAGGGGGTGGGGTAGGCTTCCCTGAAGAGATGGGTTTTCAGGGTGCGCCTAAAGGAGAGGAGAGTAGGTGATAATCTGATGGGTTGGGGCAGGGAGTTCCAGAGGATGGGTGACACCCTGGAGAAGTCCTGGAGGCGGGCATGGGAGGAGGAGACCAGGGAACTAGAGAGAAGGAGGTCTTGTGAGGAGCGGGGTGTGCATGCTGGGTGGTACTTGGATATTAGGTCAGTGATGTAGTTCAGGGCAGTATGGTGGACGGCTTTGTACGTCAGTGTTAGGATTTTGAATTTGATCCGTTGCGCAATCGGAAGCCAGTGGAGGGATTGGCAGAGGGGGGTGGCAGAAACGGAGCGGTTGGAAAGGTGAATGAGTCTGGCAGCCGTATTCAGGATGGACTGAAGCGGGGATAGCCAGCGGCGAGGCAGGCCAGTGAGGAGGGAGTTGCAGTAGTCGAGTCGTGATATGATGAGGGAGTGGATGAGCTGTTTAGTGGTTTCTGGGGTTAGGAATGGGCGTATTTTGGCGATGTTGCGGAGGTGGAGTCTGCATGAGTTAGTTAAAGATTGGACTTGGGGCTGGAAGGATAGGTTGGAGTCCAGAATGACACCAAGTACTCTGGCCTGCGGGGCGGGTTTTGATGGTGGCGTTGTTGGATGTGATGGAGAAGTCAATGGGGGGTGGTGTCCGGGCTGGGGGGAAGACAAGAAACTCGGTTTTGGAGAGGTTCAGTTTATGGAAGTGGAGTGACATCCAGTCTGATATGTCGCTCAGTAGGTGTGTGATTCGGGCTGAGACCGAGGGGGTGAGGTGGGGGGTTGAGAGATAGATTTGTGTGCCGTCGGTATAGAGGTGGTAGTTGAAGCCGTGGGAGTGTATGAGTTGGCCAAGGGAGGAGGTGTAGATGGGGAAGAGAAGGGGCCCGAGGACAGAGCCTTGAGGGACCCCAACAGAGAGGGGGAGTGAGGGGGAGGTGGTAGCATTATAGGTAACGCTGAAAGAGCGTTGTGACAGGTAGGATGAGAGCCAGGAGAGAGCAGAATCTCTGAGGCCGAGGGAGTGTAGTTTTTTGAGGAGGAGGGGGTGGTCGGCTGTGTCGAAGGCCGCAGAGAGGTCAAGGAGTAGGAGCACTGAATAGTGGCCATTAGCTTTGGCGGTTAGCAGGTCGTTGGAGAGTTTGAGTAAGGCGGTTTCGGTGGAGTGTAGGGGACGGAAGCCGGACTGTAGGGGATCGAGGAGGTGAGAGCATAGACATGATAGCATCACACAGTTGCTGCAGATTTGGCGGTTGCACATCCATGATGCGAATCTCCTGTTCCACTAAATCACAAAGATGCTCTATTGGATGGAGATCTGGTGACTATAGAGGCCATTGGAGTGCAATTAACTCATTGTCATGTTTAGTGTTGGGCTACATGTTCGAGTCGAATCTAAGTGGGCCGTTCATGTGTTTGCTGAACACACAAATGGTACGGGTGTTCGGCGGGCTGCTCGTCCCCTGTTTGAACCCCGCCCCCTTTGTGACATCACGAGAGTATTTAAGTACTGTCATCAGTAAGAACTGTCGTCAGGGCGCAGCTGTCAGATGCCCAGCATCGCAAGTGGAACGGATTTTTTTCCCTTTTTTCAGGAAGCGTGGCAGCGGGCATCGTGATTGACGTTGGATCTACTTTTGGGGACATTTTTTTTTAACTTTTATTTTTAATAAAAAGGCTTGACAAAGACT